GTTAGTTATTAAAGTTTAGATAGATTTAAGTTCAATCATATGCTTTATTCAAATCTTTCACCAGCACTGGTCTAGATATAATCTTATCTTTTCAGCAATTTGTACAGAGATAAGGAGTAAGAAAACAATAAGCTTACAGTCTCTTCCTCTCACCCAATTTTTGGATACTGATCTATAGCTGGGATACAGAAGGACCAAGTGGGGAAAATACTTTCTCACTAAGAATGTCCTCTTGGCTGGCTGCAATAGCCATTCCGTTTTGTTAACACCTACATTCATCCGCACTAATTAATGTGGTGTTTGCTTTCTGTTTTTTATTACCACATGACCTGGCTTATTCTTTATAGTTGATCTTGTCTGTTAGAAATCCAGGTTGACTTTATTCATATGGACTTTGACACCCCCCTCCCCCAATATCTTCTGTTTATTCATGGTACCTTGTGATATTTAACAAGAATTTCAGGCTAATTATTGCAGAAAGCCTTATACCACATTGTGTTGAAGATAACATTTTTTTGACCAATGCTTCAGTGATTCCCTGGGGTCTTACTTACCTAGCACATTCAACTCTTCAACTCGGGGCCTGTAGGCACTGTAAGAACTCATCTTCCATAATTCTAAGGAATGAAAAACTTGAAAAAGCTGTACACAATTACTCTTTGGCCCTACCAACGGGAAATTCACAACAACCACATCTTCCAAAATAAACTCACCCACAAGTTGAGTGATTCTCTTTTAGATTCTGTGAAGGAAAAATAAAGGGATCCAAATGAGTTTCCCCATAAAAAAAATAATATGAGTAAGAACAATTGTCTGATTTTCCAAATTCTCCTTTCTTCTCTTTCACAGAATGTCTACCCCATGAGTCCTCTCTTTATAGACCAGACCCTATGGAGAGGAATACCAGATGTGCTCTCAACATAGAATATAGGCAATTTAGCCCCTCCCCCTTTATTTAAGTGAGTTCTAGCTGACAGTCTCAAGAAAATAAATCTGACTGGCAACATATACCAGCAAGCTAACCATATTTATTATAAAATGATCTAAAATTGTTCTGTTATCTCTATGACATAAGGTATGGATTCTTCTATTAGTTACAACTAATGACTCTGAAAGTAGTGAATTTCCTCATGTGGTTTATGATTTTTTTGTTATTGTTGTTTATGAACTCACACACAGTAGTTGCTTTTATTAGAAATGCTTTTTGCTCTGGACTCTTGGGAGACCCTTATGAATCTTTGTTATTTGTCTCTACCAAGGTACCAAAAATGCTGTGCTCTACCTTGCTGTGTGAAATAAGCTTGGGTTTTAATTTCTTATGGGTGGATCCTTATTTCCCAACCAATAATCCCAAATAATTCTGTTTCCTTGCTAGTTACCTATAGCCTGATAGGTGTAAATTTTCTTGTTTTTCCACCCAGAATGCATGGTACACTTCTCCATCTTTATAGCATGCATGAGACCAAAGTCTAATTTCTCATCCCAAGTTAGCATTAAATATCCTCACTTTTATATCATAAACCCTGTAATTATATGCCAGTGTTTGATTAAATTTGGTTTCCCAAATTCTACATGCACTTTCTTCTTTTTTTTCCTGAGGTTTCCAAGACATGTTTTATAGATCAACAGTGAATTTAAAATATTTCCTTTCATCCAGGAAATGGATAAATACAATTGACACAGGGTATGGGGCAGTTACCACATCTGCTAGTCTACCATTCTGAATGAAAGTTTACTTTTTCATTTGTACTCGCCTTCAAAGCCACTTTGAATTCTATGATTTCAAAGCAATTTTAAGTTCCAAACTGTTAAGCTTAACAGTTATTCTAAGTGGCTTCTATCTCCCATTCAGGCTTCGAGACTATATTTTATTTAGCAAAGGTGACCTGTAAAGCTGGTACATTCAGCCTCTCCAGCTGTGTCCTTCAGATGCACTGAGGACAGAAGAGGCCATCCATCCTGATGGTTAAATCAGCAAGGTAGTTCATTACCTCAATCTGCAGCAAAGTTAGTAAGACACGTTACCAATCACATCCCCTTATCTTCAAAGCTCTCAGGTACCCTTGGGTATTTAAGGAGATATTTATATTTTCCCACTGGGATTGTTGCCCAGAAGGAAGACAGCCTGTAGTCCAGCAGGAGCTGGAAATGACCCAGATTTAGGATTTCTATCACCTTTTAAAGCAAAATACTTAATTTCAGTTTTTGTGAAAGGTTGATAGGCTTGCAAGGCAGGTTGGACTGATATTTTCTTTTATCAGATAGAGATAAAATATCCTCTATCATTCAATAAGGGCTGTTAACAAAGGAACAATGTGGAAAATCTGATAGAATTTTGCTTACTTCTAAAATGAAGTTTCCTTTTTAGACTTTACTTTTGGTGGTAGTGGGATTGGGTGTTAGCAGGTGGTGGTGATTATTGCCAAACATTTACAATCCCAAAGCTAGTAGATAATATTCTTATCCTCTATCACATATTCCTGCCTTTTCTACAACCACCACCAAAAAAACCCATGATCTCAAAACCTGTCTTTATTCTGTTTAAAACTATTTCATTACACACCTATGAATGTGCAAATAATAAATAGTTCAGTTTTACACATTCAGAACAGATTTTTAGTGGCGACTCACTTGCCCAAGATTCATATTGTTCTATTTGATAAATTTATGGATTTTTGCTACTATATTTTCTATTTAAAGTAATATATTTGTCCATTCTTCTTTCATTGGACATTATGGTTGTTTTCTTAGTTTTTGTTTCTTTGTATTATTACAAAAAGTCATAAAATAACTGTTCTTTTTAACTATCTTTTTTATTTATGTAAAAGTTTGTTGGGTGTGGTTGTGCCTGCCTTCTGGCAAAAGTTTCTCTAATATATGTTGTGTATGTGGACATTAATCTAAAAGAGATGAAAAATTGTTTTCCAAAATGATTTTTTAAAATTAGTTTTTGCCTTAGGGAACATGTACTCACCAAAGAGAGAGAGACAGAGACAGTGAAAGGGAAAATGAGAAATACCCCCCCCCCCCAAGGGAGATTGCCTGGTCACAATCCCTTTGTCCTTTATTATCCTCCTGGGATCTTACACATGTATGCATACACAACCAGTGTGATTTTCAAGCCACTGGGTCCAGGATTCAAACCACAGTTGGTTATAGAGGAGTCCAGCAATGTAACTGCTATGCCATCTGCTGGCCCCTCCAAATGATAGGCTAATATGCATACCCAACAGCAGTAAGTCTAGTTTTTGTTGCATATCTTCTTTCACACATGGAATTGTCAAATTCTCATTTGTGTCACTGAATAGCGTCACATGTTGATTGTGACTTACATCCTTTTGTGTGTACTAATGAGGTTGAACATCATCTCTTCATCTGTTTATTGTATCCCTACATTTCTTTTTCTTTGAAATGCTCCTTTTGGCCTTTCTTTCATTTTTCTGTTAGATTATTTGTTCATCTTTTAATTGACTTGATTTTTTTTCATATTATAAATCTGTTACAAATGTTGGTTGTTTTCTTCGATTTAAGGATTTTTTTTTCTTTATTTGAAGAGGTGTTTTATTGGGCATGTGCGCTCGTCAGAAAGACAGAGAGAGACAGAGAGATAGGAAGCGAGAAATCACCCCCCAAGAGGGGATGGCCACACCACAATCCCTTCTCCTACATTCTCCTCTCAGGATCTTGGGCACACACACACACACACCCAGCGTGAGTATAAGCCACAGGGTCCAGGACTCGAACCGCGGTCGACTACATGGGAGTCCAGCAACATAGCCATTACGCTAACTGCTGGTCCCTATTTAAGGATTTTTAAAATTACTTTATGATGTCTTTGGATAAGTAGGTTCTAATTTTCTTGTCAGACTTATTCATCTCTTTTCTTTTGACCAGTCATGTACAAAATGTCTTAAGATAGCCTTTTGCATCCCTTTATCAGAAGGATCATCTCCTGTTTTCTTGTAACAATCTTAAAGTTTTGTCCCTTTTTATGTATTAGTAGTTATGTATATGATCAGTTTCATGATACATACCAAAGGACACTTAAAAATAATCATATCCTTGAAATTGTTAGTAGTCATATTTCAGATAATATACATTAAGGAAACAATAAATACAGAAAAAGATCACATATTCATAATGTTGTTCACCACAAACTAATAGCAAACAAACTTAAAAATGCTATACCTATCCAATAAATGTCTCTTGTTGAAGATACAAAGCTATAGGTACTTAGCTGTAGCCTTAGATTTTAATGTAAAATATGTTTTCCTAGGTTCCGACAGGTGGTATGGTGTTTGAGGTGCCAGACTCCCACCTGGCTATCTAAGGTTTGAGTCCCGGACCTGACGGCTTGCTTTATTATTTCCCCTTTCTCTCTCTGATCAAATTGTTAAAATAAAAAGAAAATGAACGAATGAATAAAATTTTTAAAAATATACGTCTTCCTAGTAATATTTAAAAATTATATGGTATAATACTTAGTTGAGAGAAAGCTATCGTTCAACCTATATTTAAATTTTAACTATCAAACTATATATAATAAAGGTTAGAGGAGGTCACAGAAAATGATAATAGTACATATGCCAGAAAACTAGGTCTATATATGCATTTGTATATATATTTTTAAAAATATATAATGATTTGTGTAGTCAAGTTTTAAAATAGCTGCTGCTGCAAGAAAGGTAAGATATACAATGAAAATATGTTGTTTTTAGAAGTTTAAAAAATGGAATGCCAAAGTTTCATGTTCAGGAGGTCACAGAAAATGATAATAGTACATATGCCAGAAAACTAGGTCTATATATGCATTTGTATATATATTTTTAAAAATATATAATGATTTGTGTAGTCAAGTTTTAAAATAGCTGCTGCTGCAAGAAAGGTAAGATATACAATAAAAATATGTTGTTTTTAGAAGTTTAAAAAATGGAATGCCAAAGTTTCATATTCAATTTTTTATCAAAATATTTAAACTGTGATATGTATTTCTTCCTTAGGAAGTTTGGGCGTGTTGGCATGAGTTACTGTCATATTTGGAGAAGGCAAACAAATGGCTAAATGAAGTAGAATTGAAGCTTAAAACCACTGAAAATGTTCCTGGTGGAGCTGAGGAAATCTCTGAGGTGCTAGATGTAAGTTGTGAAATCATCTAAACGATGGTAATTTATATGTAGTGTTGAAAGAGGTCAAGTACCAAATGGAAAATAATTTCAAAGAAAACTACACAGGGGAGTATACTTCCTATGCATCGCTCAGCAAGGGCACTTTGGATGAAGCCTTTGTTCCCTCTAAGAACCTTTCAGATCTCAAGGTTTTAAAGAAGTTTTAAAAAATCTCTTACAGAGAACATTTGTCTTTTGTGACTAATTTTTATGAAGCATTTTTACCTAGTTAAATCTACTACAGACCTGCAGACAGTTTGAATGCACAACTTTGCTCCATTGAAACAGGGCTAAAGAGGATGGTAATATAAAACATCACTTCGTGAATCCATACACAATTTACTGAACAGAAACACATTTTAAAATTATTTTAAATCACAAATTTATGCTCTATATAGTGTTTTGAGGTACTAAATGGTCATGCTTTGATATTGAAAATGTACTTTTAAAATGGTCATGAACTTCTAGAACATTTTCAAGTTTTATTTTGGAGGCCTTTAGTAAGTAAATTTTAAAAGAGTTTGCATTTAAGGTTTATGTGTATGAGTGTTTGACATACATGTCCACACATGTGTGTTTACTATTTGGTGTGTGCCCTTGCCAGAGAAAGAGAGAAAGTGAGAAATCACTCCCCTGAGAGGAAGGCCATGCCTCAATCCCTTCTTCTCCATTCTACTTTTGGAATTTCAGGGCTACGGATACATGCACCCAGTGTGTTTTTCAAGCCACTGTGTCCAAAACTTGAACTGTGGAGTTAGCCCTTTGGGATCCAGATGCTTTAACCACTACATCACTAGCTGGTATTGTTATGTTAACTCCTGATGGGACCAGCAGTTGGTGTAATGGCTACGTTGCTGGACTCCCATGTAGTCAAGATTGCGGTTTGAGTCCTTGACTCGGTGGCTTAAACTCACGCCAAGTTCCTTGACTCGGTGGCTTACGCCAAGTGTGTGTGTGTGTGTGTGTGTGTGTGTGTGTGTGTGTGTGCCCAAGCTCCTGAGAGGAGAATGGAGGAGAAGGGATTACAGTGTGGCCATCCCTCCTGTGGGGTGATTTCTCGCTTTGTATCTCCGTCTCTCTCTTTCTGGTAAGTGCACGCACCCTATAGCAAAAAGCCTCTCTCTGTAAAAAATAAACAAATAAAAAAGCCTTTTGATATGTAATTAATCATTCTATTGAATTTGTGGCCTGTCATTTGTATGTAACTAATATATAGTTTTAGCATGTGTAAGTATATAGAGCTGTATTAGAGTAATTCCTGTGTAAATCTGCAAAATAAGGAGTATAAATTATCCAAGATGTGAAGAAAATCTGAAGTCTTCCTTTAGACAGCATAGAATGGACTCCTACAACAGCAGAGCAGAAATGTAGAGCTTGTTTTATCTACTTTCTTATTTTAACAAGAACATTGTAAAACCAGAAGACGTATCAATAACAATAAGGGAGGTCTCAAATGGACTATAATTTTGGCCCTGCCCTATTCAGATACATTCACTGGGAATCAACAGTATAATATATCTTCTGGAAAAGATGAAGGAATCACATATCACATTAACATAAGGACAGTGACCAGAACAAAAGATGTGATGATATAGTTATCCTATGAAATGGACAGAGAGCTCTGTTAAATTTTTGATATTACACTCTAAGTGATGCACTGAAAAACTAGGGCATGTGCAGAAAAGATTAATAAGGAAAGGGAGAAAACTTGTAATATTAATGGAAAAAATTTATAAAAGAAAAGGGGGAAATTTTTGCTATTCATATTTCATGTTTTATTTACTATTTTTAGTAAAAGTGGTTATTCAGTAATGTCACTGCTGCTCATCTAGGAAGACATTTTGAGCAGCAAAGGACAAGACCATTATTTGTCAAAAATAGAAAAATGGAACAAGCAGATGGTATAATGGTTATGCCACTAAACTCCCGGGTAGTCAGCTGTGGTTCAAGTCCCAGACCTGACAACTTAAAATGCATGCTGGGTGCTTGTGCATACATGCCCAAGATCCTGAGAGGAAAATGGAGGAGAAGGGATTGTGACATGGCTATCCCTTCTTGGGGGTGATTTATTGCTTTTTATCTCTCTCTCCCTATGTCTCTCCGGAGATCACACATGCCCTACAGTAAAAATATCTCTAAAAACAAGGGGAAAAGAATAGAAACTACTTTCTAAGTTTCCTTGCAACTCAAGATTTATAGAATTCATTAATTTTGCTTCATTGTTTTAAAACCACCTTTTAAAAAAATTCAGCAATCTAGGTACTTTATTGGGAAATATCAAGAAAAAAGTACATACATACATCCAAGTACCTTTTAACAAAGTTGAGGTTTATTAGAAGTAATAAAATGGGTGCTGTGGCTGTTAAGGTGGAACCTACCTATGTGACCAACTGCATGGTCCAAGTCTTGGACCCATCACCTTGAAAAATACACCCAGATATGCCTGTGTGTCCAAACTTCTAAAAGGAGAGTAAGGAGAAGGGATTACAGTGTGGTGAATGCTCCTGGGGATACCTTCTTATTTTTCCACTTTTGTTCTCTCTCTCTCAAGCAAGCACACATAGCCATAGCAAAAACTTAAAAAAAAAAAGTAGTAAAATGTATGTCTGTTACAAGAAAAATTACTAATAATAACGTTTTGTTACTAAAATACTATTGCCTCTTAAATATTTTAGAGGTTATAATCATATTTCCTGTACAAACTCATTTAGGAGGTCTCTAAATTTTGATTTCCTTAAAATTTAACAGGAGAATATATAGAGATTGCTTAAAATTTGAGAAATAATGCACATAAGACAAAGGCCATCAATATGTGTCAGGACAGTTCCATTTCTTTCAAAGAAGGAAAACAACAGAGTACTGAATTAATTGGTTATAAAACAGTGTCCATTGCTTATTTTATAGACATATTTGAAATTATGTAAGATGATATTGAATCACTTGTTGTCTAGTGTTGCTTAGACTTGACACTGGTATTCTTTTTTCATCTATAGTCTAGTCAGGCAACTTTATTTGTTCTGAGTAGTATACCAGTTAGGGATTATCAGGCTGCAAAGAATGGAAAACCAAGCAATGGCTTAAGCTGGTAAAATGATCTTTTCTTATCACCAAAAGAAGACTGGAGGGAGTTTACCCAGGGATGATGATGGTTTGTCCATGTGATGAGACTCCTAGGCGCTCTCTCTTTATGCACTACCTTCCTGAGCATGAACGACCTCATCTTCATTTTTATCTGTTCCCTTTCCAAAGATGGCTCCAGGCTGTATGTGTATGAAAACGTATGAAGGGCAAAGGGATTTCTTTTTTTCTTTCTTTCTTTTTTTGGGGGGAGGGGAGAGTTTTTTGCTATAGGTCGCATGCGCTTGCCAGAAAGACAGAGAGAGACAGAGAGTGAGAAATCATTCCCCCAGGGGGCATGGCCATGCCGCAATCCCTTCTCCTCCATTCTCCCCTCGGGATCTTGGGCACTCATGCACACGCACCAGGCATGAGTTTATGCCTCCGGGTCCAGGACTTGAACTGCAGTTGGCTACATGGGGCATAGCCATTATGCTAACTGCTGGTCCCAGGCAAAGGAATTTCTAATAAGACACTGTTCCTGTCTTTGATTCAAGAAAGAAACTCCACTCATGAATTTCTATCTATGTATATTTTTAGACTCATGTCACCTAGATCCCAGTAGCTGTAAAAGAAGTGAAGAAATTGAGTATTTTACTTTTCTATGATGTGGGGTAGATGATATCAAGGAAGAAAGTAGCTGTGAGTCCCCCCGACCCCCTGCCTTTTTTGAGAGATTTTTGCCATTGGTCGAGTGTGCTTACTAGAGAGACAGAGAGAGAAAGTGAGAAATCACCCCTCAGGGAGGATGGCCACACCACAGCACTTTCTCCTCCATTCTCCTCTCAGTATTTTGAGCACGCACACATATGTACCCAGTGTGAGTTTAAGGTGATGGGTTCAGAACTCGAACCATGGTTGACTAGGTGAGAGTCTAGTGACGTAACGATTATGCCATCTGCTGGTCCTAGCTGTGAATCCCTTTTTAAGTGCTCAGTCCACAATGCTGCTACAAATCCAAAAAGACTGACAAAGAGTGACATCATGGGGCCAGTAGATGGCATAGTGGTTACGTCACTGGACTTCCACATGGCAGCCCATGGTTCAAGTCCTGGACCCAATGGCTTGAAAATGACACCAGCATGTGTGTGTGGGTGCCCAAGATACCAGGAGGGGAATGGAGGAGAAAGGATTGTGGTGTGGCCATCCCCCCTAGAGTGTAATTTCTCGCTTTCCCTCTCACTATCTCTGTCTGTCTCTCTCTCTGGTAAGTGCCTGCACCCTTAGGCACAAACTTCTTTAAAAAAAAAAAAAACAAAGAAGACCATCATAATTTTTTAAACAACATGCTCCTTTTTGTTTTATTATCCCAATTAAATTTTTCTTTAAATTGCATATAATTTAATTATGGTAAATTAGAAGATACTGATCGTTTTGTATTTAGTCAATGTATTAGAAAAAGAAGAGATATAATAATTTATTGCAAATGTGTTTCAGTCACTTGAAAATTTGATGCAACATTCAGAAGATAACCCGAATCAGATTCGCATATTGGCACAGACCCTAACAGATGGTGGAGTCATGGATGAACTGATCAATGAGGAACTTGAGACATTTAATTCTCGTTGGAGAGAACTACACGAAGAGGTATAAAGATAAGTGAAAAATCTCTTTAATTTGCATAAATATATGGCAGATTCTGGCCTCACAAATGAAATGAGGACTAGTTTAAATATTAGCTCAACTTCTAGGTTTCAGAAACTGTCCAGTGCCAGACATAGGGTGAATTCTTTCTGTGTGTATTATATTATTTAATCTTCCAAGATATTGAGGTTGCTCAAAATTTGAGAATTAAGAAATCTGTAAGAAAAATTTTAACAGTATTTTTAACAGGAAATAAGATGTATCAAGAACAATAGTATATTCAAATCCACATATTAATAGTTAATTTAGTATCCAAAATCATGTTATCTGACCTTACAGTTTGTTCTTATACACTGTCTTTCTCTTTCTCTCTCTCCCTCTTTCTGTCTCTGTCTGTGTCTCATTCTCCTTTTCTCCCTCTCCTTTTGCCATTTGTTATAGTCACATATAATCTGCTAATAATACCTGTGATTCTATGAGTACCCTGGATACATATATACTCTAAACATACTAACATACTAACTTACATATAATGGAAAAGTTGTCTTTGTTCAGAATTCATACACATGGGATGATTTTTTTAAATCAAAATGAAATAAAATGACGTATTTCTTCTAGTCAAATGATGCTTTTTGTACTCACTCCTGAATCAGTATTGAATTGTCAGGAAGAAAACATATGTTACAATAATGTTTACCTTTAGATTTATTTACTGAGAACATCTACTACAGGTGAGATATTGTTCTATGGTTTCGTAGTAAGGAAGAAAAGGACCAGCCTATGATGTGTTGGTTAAGGGGGGACTAGATTCCTTATGGCTGGTGGTATGGTTCAAGTCCTGAGTCCAGCATATTTGCCCAAAATCCTGAAAGGAGAGAGAGATGGAGGTGAAAGGATTGTAGTATGACAATTCCCCATGGGAGAGGGGGTGGTTTTTACTTGCCCTCTCTGTCTGTCTTGTAAGCACATGTATACTCTGATGAATTTTTTTAAAAGATGCATTAAAAAAAACTATCCTTCATAACTTACAGACATTGATTACTTAAGCAAAACATTCACTATTTCCTAGTGTGTACAAGACATGAAAACAATATTTATATAAAGTATGGGGAGGATAAAAGAGACTAATGGGGTGATTATTCGGGGAATATACAGGGGGAGTTTTATGTGCTTATAAACTAGAAGGAAAGCCTTGAGTCAGACAGTCTCCTCTCCCCTGGATCCTGATCAGAAGTAGATAAGGGTGGGGTGGATCTGTGCAAATGTGTCAGCAAAAGTTTCCAGTCTTAATCCCTGTGTCTGTACTAAGTAAGTAGTTTATCCATAATTTTTGTATATCATCGTAAGAGATTGGGGATTGGACAAGGGGATTCCAAAAATTCCTTGGCCCTTCACCATTGTTTTACCATTAGGAGATGTGGATCAAAGTAGATATTCCTAGGTGGCAACTGAATTGAAGGTCATTTCAATGTGGACTCTGACATGAAATTAGAATGTGCTTTTATGCATATTTGAATATTAGTGGCAGTTAAGAGATTGTAATTCCAGCAAAAAAATCAAAAGTCACATTGTAAAACTGACCTTTGCTAATCTGAGAAGAGACCCAAATTTTGATCTGTGACATTGTCTAGTTCCCATAGGATACTGTTCTTCTGTCCATGGGATAGACTTTTCTTCAGCCTGCTCTTAGCAGATGCCCTACGTATGTAATTATCTTGTAATCCTTTATTAACACAAAACTACGATGACCTTATATTTCTGATATCTTTGATAGGAAACATTGCTATTTCTCAAAAATGAATAACAATTTAATTGCACAACAAACCTTGGTTGATCATCTACTGTATTCCCAATTGAGCTGCTAAAGCATAGAAATTTCAATCAGAAAATCTTGGGTTGGAATATCACTTGGCATTAGTCAGGGTCCAGGCAGGGCACAAAAACTGCATGGTCACTTGAATAGGGAATGTTTAATACCAAAAAAATATTAACTACTCACTAGAAATTAATATGTAAAAGGGAATAAAAGGGAAATACTCTACATGGATAGTACCCAAGGGAGGAGCTCACTTGCAAAGGGAGGAACTATACCCAGGGCTGGATTCAAATCTCATTGGGAAGAGTGTGTCTGTAGTCTATGAGATCACATGTGAGTTGAAGCTAGTGTGAAGGGAATATTGGGGTGAGATGGTGACAGTATTCACAGTCTGACGAAGACGCTGTTTGCTGGATAGCCGGCTGGTGTACCCGCTGAACTCACTAGCAAGCTAATGAAAGTAGTGTTGCTGAACTTCTGGGGAAAAAAAGTGAGACTGCAAGAAGCTGCCTATGGTTTTACTACCTGTGCTGAACTTGCCACTGGGGCACCAATATATTGGGTCATCGGGAAAGTCATGATGTATTTCTCTATGCAAAAATGTATCACGACTTTCCAGATGACCCAAAAACTTGTAGGCACTGCCCATAACGGACAGTTGTGAAACTGTTGGGGTGGGATAATGAGATGAGCTCTGCTGAGTTTCACACAGGCCAACTCAGAGCCACTACAGTGAGACAGAATTGAAAACACACTAAAACAGAACAAACTTCACTTTCTCCATTGTCACTCTAGTACCTTCTGCTGAGGAAGCTTGACATCATGCCAGCTGCCAAAGGGAGAAATGTTCCAGTATCAAAAACAAAACAACGCTGAAAGGCAACAGATTGCTAACTGACACATCCCCCTATAATTCACTGGCTAAGTGACCTTTGGTAACATTGTCAAGCTTCTATTTTCGCATCTGTGTTAATAGGTCCTGTTTCATAGGATTTCTCACGAGCAAAATACAAAATACTGCATTAAAAATACATGTTACTATACCAAGAACATAGTAATATTCAATAAATAAATAGAATTTGTATTTTTTACTAGATTGTATTCTGGAGTATCTACTATTAATGAAATATATCTGTGTGTGCATATATGTGTATATGTGTAATTATACATGTGTATATCTCACCAATGATAGGGGTAGGCAAACAAATACATATATTCTAGTATGAAAAATAATGAAATGTGCATATCCCCACTAGTTAAATCAAATGCATATGTTAGATAAAAAATTATTAGGCTTACCATCTCTTTCTGGAAACCCAAATTGCTCCAAAATCTGAAACTTTTTGAGGGCTGACATAAAGATACAATAGGAAAATTCTATACCTAGCCTCATGTTCTAGGTTGTAGTAAAAAAGCTGCAATAAAAAATATTGTATATAATTATCTTCAGACTATATGTATAGAGTGTATATGAAACATCAATAAATTTGGTGCTTGGACTTGGGTCTCCTCCCCAAGATAGCTCATTATGTCTATGCAAATATTCCAAAATCCTAAAGAAAATATCCAAAATCTGAAACATTTTAAGTCTCAGCGCATTTTGGTGAAGTTTACTCAATCTATAATAACAATAAATAATCCTGAAATAAACTACAATCAGTCTTGACTATGCTTATATTAGATTTTTTTAACCAATAATAACCTAAATTAAGCATATTTGGTGCTTTGGGACTTTCATGAAAACCATATCATGTTAGAGATAATGTACTGTCTGTCCCACTGTCCTTTTTATTTATTTATTTTTTTGAGAAGTTTTTGCTATAGAGTGCGTGGGCTCGCCAGACAGACAAAGAGACACAGAGAGATAGAAAGCAAGAAATCACCCCCCAGGGTGGATGGCCACACCACAATCCCTTCTCCTCCATTCTCCTTCCGGGATCATGGGCATGCACGCACACGCGCCCGGCATGAGTTTAAGCCACCGGGTCCAGGATGTGAATCGCGGTCAACTACATGGGAGTCCAGCTACATAGCCATTACACTAACTGATGGTCCCTTAAGAAGCACAGGTGGCGCTATGGATGGTAACAGAGCTGTTCTGTTTCTCAGAGTATGAGCTGGGCCTTTTTTATCAGTTTCAAATAATTTAGGTAATATGGAAACACCAGTTTTTAAAATGAGAGACACAGAGATAAAGCAGAAGATAGAGGGGGAGAGAAATACAGGTATTTTTGGCAGAGTCTTGCCATGTTGCCATCCTCATGCCTCAGCCTCCCAGTTACCTAGGACCACTGGCCTGTGCTGCCACACTTGACCTGTTCATGTTGGGCCCAGGAATTGAACTTGGGCTGCTCATGCATTACCAGCTACTGCACAGTGGTCTCCCCCCACTCCCACTCAATTGTACCATGGTGACTGGGCCAGAGAATTACCTAGTAATTGCTTATCTAAATCAGTCCTGGATGTTCTCGGTGACTATGTGTTAATAGTTGAAAATACTGGTATTTTGATGCAATGAAGATAGGAGCCTTAGGATACATTGTTTTTGAGGAAGTAGGGAAACAAAATGATTACAATAACAGCATTTTTAAATAGATTTTTTTCTCCCCCAAATCCATGTAGTCTATTAAATGCGTTACAGTCTACAATTCTGAATTGGTTTTAAGCCATAATTTTATTGATATTTTGGCTGGCTAAAAAAACACAATTTTTCCATTAATAAGCAAAGTGACTTTTCATCAGAAGATGAGCCTTAACACATTTTCTTCTCAATTAAATGCCTATGTCAGAGGTTTGTCGGGTTTTTTTATTGCCTACCTAATGTTTCTTATAGATGCAATTATGCAGAACTAAGGTAACATTCAATTGCCTGTTAAATCAATCAAACATACAGAGTTTTTATTGCCTATGAATATTTAAAAGAGATATGCTAGATCCCATTCCTAATTTCAGAGTGTGAGTTTGCATTCAGATAAGTAATAAATTATCTCTATCACTTTAAAAGGCATCTTTCACTCTTCATAATCATATGGCACTATATTTTCTACTCACAGTAATGATTTGAAAGATGGTTAGCAAGCTAGGAAATAGCTTCAAAAGTTACACCAAACTATATAATTTTTACATTATTCGAATAGTTTTATTCTCTACTAGAGTAACCAAGCTGCAAGAGATGGTTTAGTAATAC